GTTTAATTATGAATTAAAGGGCTAAAATATATGAAGTGCTGCCTCTAGATTGTTCTGGGTGCCTATGAAGTAGGGGTTCATAGGTTGGTGATAGTTACATGGTAGACTTCAGTGAATTGTGATAATAATAATAAAAGAACAGAGATGGGGGGGGTTTGGGGTGGGAGTGCAACATCCTGAATGAATATGTGATTAAGAAAGAAAAATTGTTCTGTTCAATAACATGAAGAGTAAGTGATAAGAAGATAAAAGAGTACAGAAAAAGTGATTGGGCCATTCAGAGACTCAAGAACAAATGAGAATGGTAATTTGGAGGGCAATATCCACTTTAAAAATACATGTTTTCATGTGTTTCAAATACATGGTTTATACGTCTATTCATGCACATATGTGGAAAATATTTTTCAACTGACTGTGACAAAGGACTAAAGAAATGAGTGAAAGATACAAGAGTGATTGGAGGTTCTAAATGTGGAACCATTATCTGATAGTGTCAAGAATAATTCTTGGGAAAAACGAAGAGCAATTGACTGCAGGGATTTAGCTTTCAATGTTTTTTGTATGCACAGTTAAGAGAAAGACTTAAGGTAGATAATAGGACATTTGGAATTGAGCAGCAGAAGACAGAATCTGAAGTTGAACTATGTACAAATGATGAACAAGTAATTGCTAAAATGTATAAACTTTTATTGAAATCTGAAATGGAAGAAGAAGAAGAGAAAGATTGTATGATAAAATGGGCTAAGAACTTTGGACACTTTAGTTATTTATTATTTATTTATTTATTCAATTTATATAGCAATATACTGATGGAACAGTGGGAAAATATGTGGTTAAAAGGAATGAAATATACATTATGTTATAACCTAAAAGAGAATTTTTATAAAAATGATGTACCATTGGTATATGACTTCAGAAAAATTGTCTAGAATGTATAAAGGTACTTCAAATTTTTGTTGGAAATGTGGACAACTTGAAGGGTCATTTTATCATGCCTGGTGGATTTGTAAAAAAGCCAGAAAATTTTGGGTTCAAATACATACAATGATACAAATAGTTTTAAAGATGAAGGTACAACTGAAACAAGAACTTTTCTTGTTGGGATTAATGGACAGTCAACTAGAAAAGAACCATGGAAGATTATTTTATATATGGTTATTCCTGTGAGGCTATTATATGTGCAAAAATGGAAAGACTCTGAAATACCCACAATGGTGAAGATGACAGAACTAGTAGAGATGTCAAAAATTAACTTGTTTGATTAGAGAAAGATCAATTACTATATTTATCAGTGCCTGGAAACTCCTTATGGACTTTTTGCTGAAAAAAGAGAAAAATCAGTTTGTGATTTATGGGTTTGAGGATTAGAAAAGGTAACTTATGGAAAGAAGGAAATTATGATGTAATGTTAGAGAGAGAGGGTAAAATTTAAATGCACTTATAACCGCTGTCAAAAAAGATTGGAAGCTGCTTCTTTATAATCCTTCCTTCCTTCCTTCCTTCCTTCCTTCCTTCCTT